TACACAAATTTCGTTTAAAGCTGACAATTATGATTCATAAATCTGAAAAACAATGGTTGATTATGAGCTTTAAACATCACAAAAACACCATGTAACTAAAATTAAAATCTGGTAATTGAAAAGCAATACTTAAAATATTCGTGTTTCACTAATTTCAAAATATTTTTTAAATATAAATACAACTATGTTTTTACGAATTTGTTTTGCTACCATTTTCGCTTTGCATTAATTATAATGTTGTATCATGACGAAACAAATTTAACTTATATTTACCATTGTAAATTGCATTTTGTACATCTTGTGTTTTATATTTAACAATTGCAATGAATCGTACTATTTATTTTTAAAATTTATTCAGTTCACAATCAATAGCAATTTCTCACGATGTCCTCGTTAACTCTAAAAAAAAAAATGTCCAAGTTTCCTCTCCACTAAAAATCACCTTTAATCATTTTAATACTGAATTACAGCAATTATACTGGCAAACTACATAAATAGTTTTTTTAAACATAATCGAAGATGTTATAAATAGTTTTAGTCGTAGGTATACAATACGGTATACATAATAATTTAATAGGTACTATTAATGAGGAAATAATAACAGACCACACGCATTAATATRAAATATGTTTCATTTTAAGTAATTAATAATTATATACGCACACGTAAGAATTATCCATAATGCATTGCATAATAATCACCTCCAAATACCAATTTTAACATCAGGGTCACTTACTTTAATTTATACGCAAACAATTTCCCATGAGTAATGTATGCATCTGATGTCCACCGCACACCCTGTACAATTCAAATCCGTAATGGATAATGTTATAATATTATAGTGAATGGCCTAACGAATAGCGCTAGAATTTGTTCTTAAAAAAGTTATACATAGTACTTCCCGCGATGTTTTTTTTAGGTTACTATTGATTTTTTTTTAATTTGAATATTATTTTCTCTTGAAATAATGTAATATGTAGTATGCTGATTTGTTTTTTTCTAACGCTGACTATATTTTGTCGGTCTTTATTGTATCCCGCAGGCGACTCTCCCTGCATTGTGTATGTCAACATGTTGGTACGGTCCATCAGCAGAATTGATGATTACAAAATGGTGAGTCGGGTGATGGCCTTAAATAATTTTTATTGGATTTATTTTGTTTTTATGAAATATTATTATTTGGTTTTCTGTTGTGAGATTGCGCCCAATTTATTTGCGGATTTTATGTTTTGTTTTCGTGGCCGTAGGCATATGTCTTGACCAACAGGATCACGTAATCATAATCCAATCAAGTCCTGAGGTCTGCTCGTCTGACGCACAAAATCAATTGAGATCCGATTAATCATTCCATTATTTATTTATTATACTTCCAGTACCCTAACACATAATTCAAAATGATAGTTTTCTCTACACATTTATTATTTTCTGTTGGACAAGATGTGTTTTTTAAATCAAATTCTACAAGTATTTTTTTTTTTTAATTTTAAATATTGATTATTCTCAACTCATATAACATTTTTTTGTTATTTATTTTTTGTTAAATAATGCATTGAAATGGTGTGCGTATTTAGGAATTTTGTGTCTTGTATATAAATACATACAATCATACATCAACATTTACTAATATATATATATATATATATATATTTATATAAATATATATATTTTATTTTGATTTAACTCAATACTGTATAGTGTATATTGTATTAAACTAATAATACATATACATATATGTATGTATATATATATATATAAATAATTATATATTATATAATACATATACATAATATAATATCATGCTAAGTTATTTTACTTTTATACTTTTATAAAAATCTTTAAAGTTCAAAACTATTGTTGTAGAAATAAAGAATTAAACAATTTGTGTGCACTTTTTTAATTTAATTTATTAGGGCACTTTTAAAGTGGTATTTATTTCAAAAAGTTTTATATTCCAAAAATGTATTTGATAAACATTATACAACTTTTCTGGGAAGAACAAAATATAATAATAATACAGTTACTATGGTACATAACATCGCAGAGTGAAAAAAAATTTAAAAAAACCCTGACTTGAGTTATCTATGTAATAGATATTGTATTATTTAAATTTTCATATCTATATGTAACTCGTTTTAAAAGTTTATTGGAATTAATAGTACCTAAGTGACAAGTCAGTTTCCCTGTACATAATAGTATTGTAAAATTGTGTTCCCACCACTGACACACCATTGATACCGTATTAACATTAGATATATACATACAGCCAAAATGAATATAAAATATGTAGGTATATACGAAACATCAAACGGTCGAACATATACTATACCGCAATCAAAAAAATGACTAAAATAACGGGGAATTTGACACATGTGTGGCAAATATTTGGTGCTTTTAGGACATTGCTGAGTTTTGTGATGAATAATAAAAAAACAAAACAAAACAAAATTCCCATAACCTTTGACGTACTGTGTCGGATGTTAATAATTCATGAGAAAAAAAAGATTAAAAAATGCTTTTGTTGGTTTTCTTTACTTTTTTTTTTGAAATGCGTTTATTTTGATTATTATTATACATTATGACTGTCACCTGCCTCACTATTTTTTAATCTGTAACTTTCTGTGCCTCAGATGTGTATCTATGACGATTTTGTTCGATAACTCGTTTTATTTTGCATGCTTTATTTTTGAAAATAAAATATTATATACGATCCGCTACATGCTTGCACGCACGTATGAATAATATCGTTGTTATTACGCTTCCGTATATTTATCGTAGTAACCCACGTCACACGCATCACACATACAAACAATAACTGTTCGTTTCCATCTGCATTTTGCCGTTGCAACGATATGGACGGTCGTACACACACGACCGAAAGCCAATTTATTGCATTTTTGGTATCGATGCGCAACACACGCACACACACACACATACACACGCATGCCACTTTATTGTTGTATTTGTGAGTTATTTGTTTTATTTAAAATATATTATATATATGTATATGTATATATATCTAATGTGATTTATTTTTTCTTAAAACGCGCAGATTCCGGACGAATCTCGCTGCGGCGAGCGGACACGGACGCTTTTATGATTCGTCCGGTAATCGAGAAGTCGAGTGACCTA